GAGGTCACCGCCGGGAGGGAGGGCCAGCTGGCGACCGCCGCCGTGCAGCTTTCCGGCCGAGCCCCTCGAAGGAAACCTTCGAAGGAGTCCCCGGGGCTCGCCAGAGTCCTCTCATGCTTGGTCTCCCCACCCGCTTTCCTTTCCACAACTCCGCGCAGGGCTGCTGGAGCCCTCCCTACAGACCCCCGCCAATCCCAGAGGACCTCTGTTCCCCCAGGTCCCAGCCTGGCCCTCCCCCCGGGGTGTGAGGGGCTGCCAGGAGAGGAGGGGAGACGGGCGGGTGCAGGCTAAGCCCTGGAGAGAGGCTGGGGGTGGGGGGCACTGGGCACACTGCTCTGCCGGGTCCTCCTTCTCTGACCCTGATCCAGGGACACCTCTGTGCTTTCACTGCCCCCAACTGACCTCCGCTACCGCTCGGGAGCACACGTTGCCCCTCACACCGGACAGGACAGGACGGGAGTACATATTCCCCTAACAGACCAGACGCACTCCAGCCAGCTCAGACACCCTCACTACCCTGGAGCCAGACACTCCACCAGGGGAGGAAGCAGAGATGGCAGTTGTCACCCAGCAGCCCCAGAAGTGACACTGCTGATGGGTGCAATGGCTCCCTGTCCCCTTCATTCACAGTCCCACACTCTTGTCCGTCACACTTCTGCGTGCCACCCCTGCACACCAGCCACTGGCTGACACTTCACATTCCTCCCCACGTCCCACCTCTTGTGCACACCTGGCTCCTGCACTCTCCCCCAGCCCCTCCCGCACCCCTCTTGATAACAACACCCTTTCTAACTCACCCACCACTGCCCTGGACTCCTCCTTCACTGCTCCCCCTGCCTCTGGCTCTCAGTGGGCTGCTGGGCTACCCCCTGGCTCCTCACTGGCCTCCCTGAGCACACCCAGGGCCCTCTTGCGGCACAATCAGGAACCCTCTCGCTCCAGCCAAAGCCCAACTCCTGTCTCACTTGCTTGGTTACTGACTTCATAAGGCAGGGGGGCTGGCCCACCCTCAGCTTCTTCCCCTGGGCCTCAGTGACTTCTGTCATTTAGGCTGGAAGAGAAGGGCAGGAAGGGGGATGCTGGAGAGGAGAGGAGAGATGAAGCCCTGCATGTTTCCTCTGGGAGGAATTGAGCATGCATAGTGTGACCTCTCTGTGCAAGCCCACAGTCACCAAAGGGGTTGGTGGCAAAACTAGGTCTCCCAATTCCCAGGCCCATGTGTCCCCACTCACCAAGCCACTTCTCAGTGGCCTGGGGGAAAGGGAACCAAGGAAAAGGCAGAAGGGAGGGAAGTAAGAGAGGGGAAGGCAGCAGACCACAGGGTAGAAGGATGATGGGTTTCTGTGGGCCTTTGCCTGTGAAGGCAGGTCAGGACACTCCCCTAGGGCAGTTTCCTACAGTCACAATGCCTGGACCTCACCTACTCCATCCCTCACCCACTCCTCACCTATTCCGCCTAACCCACTCCATCCCTCAATTCCTCTCAACAGACCCCTCCAACCGCAGCAGCCAGCGCTGGTCCTGGTCTGGCCTTTCCTCCTGGCTCCCATATTCAGTCCAGCCTGAGGCCACTATGCCCCACCTCTGGAGCTCTGCAGTGCCTTCCTGGCTACAACATTTAGGGCTCACAGTTCTTAGCCTAGCTCTTATAGTCCCAGGTGCAAAGACTCCCGTTGACTTGTCCTACCACCCTAACCACCCTGGTACATCTGCACGGCTGAACCCCCACCCTCACTGGGAAAGCTCAGCCCGGGGGCGTCCAGGCCAGGGACTGAGGGGCAGCTGGCTAAAGTGGCTAAAGACGTGCATACGGGTGCGCCTGCCTGTGCAGCTGTCTGGGTGGCGGGTCACTTCCTTGGGCTGAGAGAATGTGTGTGTGTGTGTGTGTGTGTGTTCATGAGGAGTACCTTGGTTCCCAGGGCCCAGGGATCTGGATGGAATTAGGGGCTGGCCGGGTGGGGGCCAGGATAGGGGGTGGGGGGCTGCTGCAGGAAACGTGAGCTGCACTCATTAGCTCCTCACGTGCTCAGCCAGATTTATAAACACACAGAGAAGACGGGATGTAAACAATCAGTGGGCAGCAGCCAGAGGCAGAGCTGAGGCGGGGACCGGGCTGGGGGCCAGGACTGGTGGGGAGGGGGAGAGGGGGACCCAGGACACAGCCCCAGTGGTCAGGGTCCACCTGCACACCATGAGCCTAAGGGAGGATGGATGAGGGCTCCAGGAAGCCCACCATGCACTCTCCTCAGGAGGCAGGCGAGCTGTGCTGGGTTCCTGAGCTCACAACTACACCACAAGTGTTCACCCCACACTGCTTTCCTCCTGCTGCCTGAGACACGGGCATGGGCACGGCTTGCCCAGAGTGAAAGCTGTCATAGCAGGGGCAGAGCCCTGTCCTTCTACCCCCCTTTCTCCTCTCCTAACCTCTTCTCCCTCTGGATTCCTGAGAGCCCTTCCCTCTTTCTAGTTCTCTCTGTGGGCCGTCGGATCCTTCTGTTCTCCCCTGCCCGCCCCCCCCACCCCCAGCCTGCAACGACAGTTACCTCAGAACTGAAATATTCCTGGAAACACCGGCCTCGTCTGGTTAATTTCATGAGCCGTTTTTTCTGCCCAGATGACTTAGTTCTTGTCTATCCAAAGGCTTCTCCCCCTGCTGTCCCTGTGTAGGGAGCTGATCTCCCCTAGGGATGTCCCACAGGGCTCAGAATGGGAGAGGGATAAGTCCCGAGCTGGGTTCCTGACTATACCTCTTGGCCGTGACATAGGCAGAACCTAGAACTCCAGTCAACATGTGGGTAAAGAGGGACACCTAGCTCCCAGCTCCTGCTTCAGTTGGGACCCTCAGCCTTGCCGCTAACTTTGAATGAAGCCAGACTCGATGCTGAAAGCAACCTCAAGGCTGGGAGGGCCGCTGCCCAATTCAGCAGGTCTCCAATCTCCAAAACTAATTCTACTCTGTACCCATAGGATCCTAGAGGTGACTGCCAGATCCCCAGGCTTGGAGTTGTGTTGGAATGTGAGGAACAGAGAGGAGAAAGGAACTGAGTCAGGCAAGAGCTGGGGATAGAAAGGAAGAGTGAGGAAAGCAGCATCCAGGAGGAAGCCACAGGCTCAGAGGGCACAGGAAAGGGGGAGCCAGTCTCCCTAGGGAGCAGTTGAGTGCCTGACCCTACTCTCTGTCCTAAAATACATGTGTGTACACACACTCACACTTGCCTCAAACCAAGACCCTGTGACTGGTGGTACCCCACCCCCATGCTCCCTCAGTAAAGCTGGCCAGCCACACATCTGAAAGAGTCCATACTGACCAGGGGGCCACTGCCAAAGTCCTCACTGACCCCTGTCCTCCATAAGAGATGTTTTATACAAATGGAGTCTTGCATCCTTCCTAGTTAGTAGCCCTCTCCAAAAGTACCCCAGTGCTGTGATTAAACCTAACCTAGTCTTCATTCTTTCTTCAAATCCCATTCTAACCATGGGCAAAGTGTTATATCTATTTAAGTTATTTCTACCTATCAAAGCAACCTATGTCATTATAGAAAAATCTGAGAGTATAAAATATGAACTATAGGAGCGGTAGGAAGGTGGCAGCAAAAAAAAAAAAAGAAAAGGAAAAAAAAAAGGAAAGAAACCACTCGTGACCTCACACCTATTCAAGCTGAAAACCCAAACTAGCCCTGCTCTTCATGACCTAAGCAGCGCCCCATCTGGTATCTAAACCGACCGAGTCACAGCCCTCCAGCTCACCTTCTGCCTGCCCAGACCTCACCACATCCCCTGCTGGACTCAAACCTCAACCACACTAAATCAACCAAATCCCAAGTCTAAACTAATCTGAAACTTTTAAAGTAACCCAGTCCTTAAATCTAACCTAGCCCAATGCCAATTATATCTATCCTAGCCAAACCCTAACTGCCTTTGCCAGTCCAAAGTGTCCACTCAATCCTCACCTTGGTCCTCACTTAAAATCCCAGAAAAGCGTATTTCCCCACTATCCATGTCACTCTTTACAGCACCCAACCCTGGCCTTGACTCCTGGTATCCTGGGATGTCCAAACTCTGCAGTGCCATCAGCCAACAAGCCCGACTCGTCAAATGCACCTCTCTCCCTTCCTGTCCCCACCCTCGCAGGCTGATGGAAAGGGCTCATTGAAGTCCAACTTTTCCCCACCTAACACCAAGAATGGTGTGAACCTCCACACTGCCACCATTCCCTGAGAGTGAGCACTAAATCTTCAATCTAACCCCACCCTATGCTTCCCACACTCAGGAATCACATCCTAGAATATACCCAAAACTAGCCCCATAAGGCAGCCCGACCCTGGTGGTCTAACCCTATACCTTGCCTCTTATGGACGACTGTGTTCTTGGCGGCTGCCTCTCTCCTGCTTCCTCCCTTGGGGCTGACTGCTCAGCCTGCCAGCTCTGACATGTGCTATCTCCCACCCTGTGACTCCCCTCAAGCTGCAGTGGGACTGGGAGACTGGCAGGAAGCTATGGTACAACTGGAACACAGGCAGGTCGACCTGTAGTCCCTAGGCCTGGCCCTGTCCCTCCATGTACACACACATATATGTTGGCACACACACAGTGGCACACATGCCAAAGACTCTCTCAGCTGACACACAGATACACTCTCAAGTATCTACTGATAGACACTTAGGCGTGCCAAGTCCTCATCCTCAAACACACACACGCCTCTCTTTCTCTCCCCTCTCGCCAGGGGTGTTTTCCCTCCTCCATCCCCTCTGCCTCCCATCTGGTGTCCCACCCTCACCCACCTTCCAGCCCAAGGTGGGGACAGACACCTGAGGGGCTGCCAGATGCTTCCTCGTGTGGGCCTGGGCCGCACTCATGCTTCTCGTCCATCCTGCCCACAGGGGACTCGTGGGGGATGTTAGCGTGCCTGTGCACGGTGCTCTGGCACCTCCCTGCAGTGCCAGCTCTCAATCGCACAGGGGACCCAGGGCCTGGCCCCTCCATCCAGAAAACCTATGACCTCACCCGCTACCTGGAGCACCAACTCCGCAGCTTGGCTGGGACCTATGTGAGTATCCAGAGTAGGAGTCTGGGAGTTGGGGAGGAGTGAGGAGTTGGGGGAAGACAGTCCTAACCGTGGAGGGTCCTGGTAAATGATGGGGTGAGGAGGGGCTCTTTGGCTCCCACCAGTCCCCCTGTCTGGCTTATCTACTGCCCTTCCCTCTTAGGTGGCCCCCCCACCTCCCCATCCCTCGCCCCAGGACTAGGCATGTGGGCAGGCCTCGCACCCGCCTTGGCCCATTGCCCCACTGGCTGCCAGCCCAGCCGCCCGCCTCCCCCTGGGGGCCGGGGAAGTCTCCTCTGTTTACACCGTGTTGTGGTGTCTCTTGCGCGGGCGGGGTTGGGTGGGGATGGAGGGGCCCCACCTCCCATGCCTGCGTTCCAGCTCGCCTCTACCCCCAGACCTGGGGCCCTGCTGCTCTGGACCCAGGGGCCTCCCTTCCGTCTGCCTCTCCCATTCTAGCTGGGCCTCCTACGGGGGTCATGGGGGAAGGGGACTGCCAGTAGTGGCAGGGGGTTTAGGGTGTGGATGGAGGTGATGCTATAAGGATTTGGGGGTGGTCCAGAGGTGTTCAGAGAGCCCAGGAGAGAAGGAAGGAGGGTCGGAGGAGCCGAGGACCATGGGGAACCGGCCCCCTCTTCCCGTGTTCCTCTTCCACATCCCAGACTCTACTCTGGAGCCAGGGAAAGAAAAGGGAGGAGGGTGGCGGGGGAGCTGGCTCCAGCCCCAGGATACACCGAGGAAATTAGTTTGTCTCTGTGCTTGTCAGCGTGTGAACCTCCCCCTGGGCCCTTGCCTATCCCAGGCCTCTCCCCTTGCTTCTCCCTTCTTTCCCAGTTACACATCGCCCTCATCCCTTTCCCTGGGCCCCAGCCGCTCCCCCGAGGGTTGGCAAGGGCTCTGCCTTCTTCCCTATACCATGCTGTCTTCCACAGCCTTCCTCCTGTCCTACTCATGAGACTGCCTCCATTTCTCCCGTCTGCAGCCTAGCTCCTTTCAACTGAACCCTTCCTTCGGAGTGTTAGTGAGTACCCGCCTCTCCCCAGCCCCTCAGCTGGTGGGCCTGGGTGTGTCAGTGGCAAATGGGACTCTGGTGCCAATGGGCCCCTCTCATCTCTCTCTTGTTCCTTGTGCAGAAAACCTTTGCTTCATTCCACTGCCCCCTCTAGTTCCCGACCCTTTTTGTCTCCTGGCTTTCTCTGCCAAATTTCTCGAAGGAGTGGTCTACACCCTCTGCCTCCACTTCCTCTCCACCCACTCACTTCTTAACCCCCTGCAATCTGGCTTCCAGGCCCCAGCAGTGGTTCTCTCCAAGGTCGTCAGGCACCTCCTTGCCAAGCCCGACAATGTTTTGAAGGCTCATTCTCCTTGCTGTCTGTTTTGCAGCCACACTGCTGAGCACTGCTGCCTTCTCGAACTCTTCCTTGGCCTCTGCACTCTCCTGGGCCACCTTCTACCTCTCCAGCCTCGCCCCCTGGCTCCTCCAGGCTCCTCTTCTTCTCTGTCCTGCCCCCACAGCGGGCACTTTCCCAAGGTTTGCCCACCAAGCCAATCAGCACGTCCTTCCTGAGCGTCTCCTGCGTCTCCTCCTCCTCTTTCTACGCCTCTCCATTGGAGAGCTCATCACCGCCACTGCTTCAGCTGTCATCTGCATACAAATGATATCCTTATTGGAGAAACTCAGGGAGGCCATGAACAGAGAAGCCTAGCATGGAGACAGGGCCAGTGTCAGGGGACACAAAAAATAGAAACTTTGGGAGCAGGTATCTCCTCGGTGATGAGACAGCTGCTCTGCCCTCCTCCTTCCCCATCACCCTCTCCTTTTCACAGCTGAACTACCTGGGCCCTCCTTTCAATGAGCCTGACTTCAACCCTCCCCGCCTGGGGGCAGAGACTCTGCCCAGGGCCACTGTTAACTTGGAGGTGTGGCAAAGCCTCAATGACAAACTGCGGCTGACCCAAAACTACGAGGCTTACAGCCACCTTCTGTGTTACTTGCGTGGCCTCAACCGTCAGGCTGCCACTGCTGAGCTGCGCCGCAGCCTGGCCCACTTCTGCACCAGCCTCCAGGGCCTGCTGGGCAGCATTGCAGGCGTCATGGCAGCTCTGGGCTACCCACTGCCCCAGCCGCTGCCTGGGACTGAACCCACTTGGACTCCTGGCCCTGCCCACAGTGACTTCCTCCAAAAGATGGATGACTTCTGGCTGCTGAAGGAGCTGCAGACCTGGCTGTGGCGCTCGGCCAAGGACTTCAACCGGCTCAAGAAGAAGATGCAGCCTCCAGCAGCTGCAGTCACCCTGCACCTGGGGGCTCGCGGCTTCTGACTTCTGACCTTTGCCGCCTCCTCTTCGCTCCCCCTTCAAACCCTGCACCCACTTTGGGAGAGCCAGCCCTGTATGCCAACACCTGTTGAGCCAGGAGACAGAAGCTGTGAGCTTCTGGCCCTCTCCTGGACCGGCTGGGCGTGTGATGTGATCAGCCTTGTCTCCTCCCCACCTCCCAAAGGTCTACTGAGCTGGGGAGGAGGTGCAATAGGCCCTGTCCTGTCCTGTTTCTACAGGAAGTCATGCTCGAGGGAGTCTGAAGTGGTTCAAGTTGGTGCAGAGGCTCTCATGGCCTCCTGCTTCTTGCTTACCACTTGGCCAATGCCCACCCAGCCCCTCAGGTGGCACACCTGGAAGGCAGGAGTTGAGGGGCCACCACCACACATGACTTTCTGGGGTGAAGCCCTTTGGCTGCCCCACTCTCCTTGAATGGGTGTTGCTCCCTTACCCCCAAATCACTCTATACATCCAATTCAGGAAACAAACATGGTGGCAATTCTACACAAAAAGAGATAAGATTAACAGTGCAGGGGTGGGGTCTGCATTGGAGGTTCCCTATAAACCAGAAGAGAAAATACTGAAAGCAGAGGGGCAGGGACAGACCACAACAGACCCAGGAGTCTCCAAAGCACAGAGTGGCAAACAAAAGCCAAGCTGAGCATCAGGACCTTGCCTCGAATTGTCTTCCAGCTTTACAGTGCCTCCTCTCTGCCCCCTTTCCCAGGGTATCTGTGGGTTGCCCAGGCTGGGGAGGGCAACCATAGCCACACCACAGGATTTCCTGAAAGTTTACATTGCAGTAGCATTTTGGGGTGTGGGGTGGCAGCTCCCCCAGGCCCTGCCCCCCCAGCCCCACCCACTCATGACTCTAAGTGTGTTGTATTAATATTTATTTATTTGGAGATGTTATTTATTAGATGATATTTATTGCAGAATTTCTATTCTTGTATTAACAAATAAAATGCTTGCCCCAGAACTTAGTCTCTTTGCCCGGCCTCACCCCTCCTGGTGCTCATCAGACTCTCTTGCCGCCCCGGCTCCCACTCCCTGCTTGCCTCTGGGGAAGCTGCACAGAGCTCTGGGAAGAGGCGCTCTTCCTCCCCGCACTGGGGTGATGGGCGCACCTCAGACTTGTCCACTCCTGCTCCCACCACCAACTCCTTGATCCCTCAGTCCTCCCACACAGCTTCTGTCTATTCCCTCACCCAGCCTTTGCTCAGTCTTCCTTACCTTTCTGGGATTCGTTGGTTTTTTTTTTTTTTTTTTTTGAGACGGAGTCTCGTTCTGTCGCCCAGGCTAGAGTGCAGTGGCACAATCTCTGCTCACTGCAAGCTCTGCCTCCCAGGTTCATGCCATTCTCCTGCCTCAGCCTCCCGAGTAGCTGTGACTACAGGCGCCTGCCACCATGCCTGGCTAAGTAGAGACAGAGTTTCACCGTGTTAGCCAGGATGGTCTCGATCTCCTGACCTCGTGATCCGCCCGCCTCGGCCTCCCAAAGTGCTGGGATTACAGGCGTGAGCCACCACGCCCGGCCTCAGTTTTTCTTTGAGAGTCTGTTGTCCAGGCTGGAGTGCAGTGGCATGATCTTGGCTCACTGCAACCTCTGCCTCCTGGGTTCAAGTGATTCTTGAGTTGCTGGGATTACAGGGGTGCGCCACCATGCCAGGATTTTTTTTTTTTTTTTTTTTTTTTTTTTTTAGTAGAGACGGGGTTTCACCATGTTGGCCATGCTGGTCTCGAATCCCTGACCTCAGGTGATCTACCTGCCTCAGCTTCCCAAAGTGCTGGGATTACAGGCGTGAGCCACTCACCCAGCCAACCTTACCTTCCTGGATTGCATTAACGGTATCAAAGGTCTGTCTTCCCACCTTGAATTTCTATTTCTGCCCTCTGGCCCAGCCTCCTTGTGATGAGCAAAGCTATTCATCTGCCTCTCTGGTGCTCTACCCTGAGCAGTCAGCCCCTGGGCTTCACTCCCCAGCTTCCCCAGGACTCCTGCCTGTCTCTGTCCACTGGGGCTTCAGGAGCAGTGACCCTCACTTCAACACCCTTCCTCTCTTTAGGAGGGAAACAGACTGTGACCAAGTCACAGTCCTTAGCTGTAACTCCACTCCTTTCTCTCCAATGTAAGACAGCATATTCCAGAAAAGAAAAACTCAGATTGTGAGAGAATGGGATAGGTGCTATTCAAAGGATGCCCTAAGCTCAAACCTCAGACTCATAACCTATGAGTGACCAGTTTCCCAGTCAGTAAAGCGGGGATAATTAAACGCCCTTCTAAGAATGCTGGAAAGGATAATAGGAACAACAAAGGGCAGATGCTTGGCTGTAGCAGCAGCAGCTGTAGTCCTTACAGATTACGTAGGCTCTAGCAGCATGTCATGACACTTTAGTTAGGAACCACTGGGTAAGTCAATGGATGAACAGCTTCCAGGTAATACATGGATATTTTATGAACTTTGAGAGCTTGTTTGGAGGTTCTAGCAGGGGAGTGAGGCTACTAGTATACCCTTGACTAAAGACTGATCCTCCTCTATTAGGGATGGTTGTCCTCTTCGATCGAGTGCACAGCTTTGGGAGGGACGCACATGGAGCGGTGAGGGAGGAAGGGGACACCCGCCTAGCCAGCCAGATCAGCCAAATCAACCCTGGTGATCAATGGGGTGACAGATGTCACAGCCAGATCGTCCTCACATCCTACATGAGTATTTTATAAGGGCCTCCTGGAGACAATACCTTAAGTGAAGAAAGTAAGAAATGATGGCAATGTCAATCAGTTGACAAATATTTTAAAGACCTAATTACCAGCCTGTCACAGTGCTAACTGGTGTAGAAAAGCCAAAAGAAGCCTAAAACCTAATTTGGCTCCTGCCCTTACAGAGCTTAGAATCTACTAGGGAAGAAAAGGTCAATGTACCTGAAATAATAAGGGCCACAGGCATATCTGTGCGATGCAGACACAGAGCTGCCGGCAAGTGCAAGAACCACTAGAAAAGGGAGAGGTCAGAATGTAGGTGCAAGAGCTACTGACTTGCTTGTGGGTGAGGCAAGCCAGCTCTGCTAAATGTCCCTGAGTCATCTGGTCTAAGTTAGAGGGAACATGCCCCACCCTGAGGGGACCAGGCTCCTCAGGTCGAGACATCTGCCCAGGCATGGCCAGGGGCACCTGCAGGCCCTGCCCCCTGTATAACAAGATAGAAAGGAGAGGGTATCAGGGCTGTCTCCATACATAGTCAAAATAAGCTGTGGCCTGTGATATGCAAAGCATTAAGTAGGGGCTATAAGGAATACAGAGGTAAGTAAGGAGGAGGTCCTATCATCAGAGAGCTTACACAGTGCTATCCTGTTGAGTTTCTTGGGGGCAGCTTTTGAGTCTTCTTCGTCTCACTATACCAGCACCCAACTTAGACTCCATCCTAAAGAAGGTGCTCAATGAGTGTGTTGGACAAAACAATCTAGAAAAACGAATAGAAACCCTTCCCTGCAAATGGTAGAATATAAGGCAGAATTCGATTAAATGCAGAAAGATCCAGGCAAAATACTACAGAAGACTAGGAAAGACAGACTGCATCTAGTTAGGTGAAGGCCCTCTAGGCTGTGAGCCCTATTAGGGGAGAAAACGGCATCTGAAGTTCTTGCTGACTTCCACAGCTATATTTCCAGTGCAGAGCACACAGCAAGTGCTCAATAGTTACCTTTTCCATAAAGGCATGCGGTGGGATTTGACACCAATCTTGGAGGATGGGCAGAATTCAGATAGATGGAGATGGGGCAGAATAAGAGTTAGTTAAGTGTGGCCGGGTGTGGTGGCTCACGTCTGTAATCCTAGCACTTTGGGAGGCCAAGGCGGGCTGATCACCTGAGATCGGGAGTTCGAGACCAGCATGACCAACATGGAGAAACCCCGTCTCTACTAAAAATACAAAATTAGCCAGGCGAGATGGTACATGCCTATAATCCCAGCTACTAGGGAGACTGAGTCAGGAGAATCACTTGAACCTGGGAGGCAGAGGTTGCGGTAAGCCGAGATTGTGCCATTGCACTCCAGCCTGGGCAACAAGAGTGAACTGTCT